AGCTGTATGGGTCAGGCATTAAAGCAGAGTATTTTGACTTATCCATTTTTTTTTTTTTTTGATTCAGCTGAAGCGACTTGTCAAGGTCAAACTTTTAAGTCACTTCAGCTGATCTAGCTAAAAGTAGGATTTTGTTAATAACGAAAAAAATATTTATTGTGTGCCTCAGTGTTACCATTAACTCCTTCTCTGCCTGCAGGAACTAACACTGCTCCTGTACCCATCCATGCTCTGCTTGTACCTAGGGCCTCCTACACACTATGCAGTCACATCAGGGACCTCATTGCTACAGGCCCTTGTGAAGCCTGTACCCCTTGTGAAGGGTTAATGGGGTTAAGAAGAGACACCTTCAAGTAGAACAGAGGACTCATAGAGGACTCATAAGGGAAGAGGAAAACGGTGCCTTTTAGCCCTCTTGGTAGATTTTTTTTTTTTTTTTTTTTTAAGCAAATACTTTAATAAAACAAAATTGCTTGGAGTAGGAACAATTTATCCTGCAGTGGTGCCACTGAGAGGATGGAAGGTGATATACTGTGTCTGCAAGAAGAGCTATATAGTGACCCCAATTTATTCCTAGAACAAAAACAACAGCAGGACTAGATTCTGGAACATGTGGATGTGATCTGAAAGTCACTGAGGAGATTTTCTACCTCCCGGAAGATCCCATGATGATAGAAACCCACAAGGAGGCAGAGCTGGGTACTCCAGGCAGCATGATACTAAAAGTAGCCGGGGTTGTGCTCTTTCTTCCCAGTAGGTATATATACTCAGCACATCCTGCAATTTCTCTCTCTTAAATTCCCCTATCTTTGCTCCTGAGATTTTAATGTTATACAGTCACAGAATCACAGAATGTTCAAGGTTGAAAGGGACCTCTAGAGATCATCTAGTCCAACCTTCCTGCTCAAGCAGGCACACCCCGAGCACGGGGCACAGGGTGGCATCCAGGCGGGTTTTGAAGACCTCCAGAGAAGGAGACTCCACAACCTCCCTGGGCAGCCTGTTCCACTGCTCTGTCACCCTAACAGTAAAGAAGTTCTTCCTCATCTGGAGACGGAACTTCTGTGTTTCAACTTGTACCCATTTCCCCTTGTCYTATCACTGGCTACCACTGAGAAGAGCTTGGCCCCTTCTTCCCTACATTCTCCCTTCATGAACTTATACATGTTAATCAGATCCATTCTCAGCCTTCTCTTCTCAATTTAGAGAGACAGTTAGGAGAGCCATTAAAAAAGTTGAATGTGGGGAAACCTTATGGACTGCAGTACAGCAAAGCAGGAAAGACAATGCTAATTAAATGAAATGCAGAAATTACATTTTACTTTTGCTTGCTTCTGCTAAAGTGCTCTCTTTTCAGCCAAACCAAAGGAACCCTGTGATTTAACTGTGAACCTATGGAATAAGAAACTTCAGCTCCGAGTGGAGCTGAGAAGGGACATCAGTCACATATATAAATTGGAGTCAGTAGGTGGAACTTAGACGGACAAAATGGTTTTAGGAGTTGTCAATGACATGGGTTGTTTCTTGCTTCTGCCAGTTTTAATCCATAGAGTCAAGGGAGCACTGACTGCAAAACAGAGTGTCTCCTACACAATCCATGTCCTTTAAACCCCTTTCACCCAGTTCTAAGGAGATTCGCGTGGTTCTTCAGGACAACCTGCAGAATCCTCCCACTTTCTCCAGAGGGGAGCAGCAGATCCACAACAGGGCCTGATTCAGGCAGAAGCACAAACACGTGCTCGGCCCTTCTATAAAGGGAAACAACAGGAGAGACGATATTGAACGCAGCATTTCACRAGAGGGTGTCATGGACTTGCTGCTGATCTGGCAGCTCCAGCTGCTGCTGATGTCTTGCTGATCCTGCCACGACTGTTACCTCCAAACATGGCGGCAGCTTTAGAGTGAAACGTTAGGCCGCAGGGGGTTGGATGCAGCAACTGTTGTGACAACACAGGCTTATGTAACCGATAAACAGCAGCGCCAGCAGGGGACACCAAAGGAAGGCTTTGAAAGATTTAGCCCTTGTTGAGATCACTCTTCCCTGCTGGTGTTTTGGAACACCTCCCACAGGTTTTTCGTTCTTGAGTATGTTCCTCCTCCCAAACCCTGCCTCCATTCCCTTTCAACCCAAGCCTGGGGGCTTTAGCACCTCCTTCATTTTCTATAACACATATCAGTTTCAGGCAATAGCTCAGACAGAAAAAATACCTTCATTCCTAGCTCTGCAGAAACACAGTAGTCAAAAGTGCAGGGGTATATCACCCGTGGTCATAGGAAGGAGCAGAACACTGACATCAAGTGCCTTGCTTGGGGCAGAAAGAATCCTGGAAATAAAGTTTATGGGTAGTAGAACTGCTATGTTAGCTGCCCAATCCATTAGTCACAACTAGATAAACAAAGTAACACAAAGAACAAGCGTGATGCCATTGGCTTCTTCTTCCTCACAAGAACTGCCACTTCTTCAAAGTCCAGTTTCTTCAAATACTTCCTAACTTATTCTTTGTTGTCTTAAGCACCATACTGCATGATACATACAGAATATTTCTTCTGTTGTTGGCCTAGCTCCTAAGCCTGTATTTATTTAGCTGATCCCTGGTGCGCTGCTTCTGGTTCCTAGGGTCTCCAGTACCACCTCCACACCCTTACGCTGAGCCTGGACACAGCTTTCAATTCCTTACTGGGTAAGGCTTCTTTGCCTCTGCATCACGCTGCTAGAATAAATACTTCATCCTACATAGCAGCTGCTTGGCACTACTATCTGTGTAAAAATCTGGTTATACCATATGTCGATACAAAAGTAAAACGAAGGAGGCAATGGCCAYGTGGTCGTTAGAAAACTGCTGGTACCGTCAAACAAGATAAAAAGAGCCTTGCTGCTTGGTGCTGCATTTAGTAAGGCACAAAAGTTTCCCCGAGTGTCACCTGCCAGGAAGAAACTTCACTTAAGGACTACTTGGAGGATGGACCGATATTTTTAATGTTTGAAAGAACTATCAAAGACAACAGTGTATTATCAACAAAGATGTGTGTGTATATATATATATATATATATATAACATTGAAAAATCAAATCATAGAATCCTTAAGGTTGGAAAGGACCTCTAGAGATCCAGTCTAACCTTCTGCATAGGCAGGGTCACCTAGAACATGTGGCACGGGGCTGCATCCAGGTGGGTTTTGAAGATCTCCAGAGAAGGAGATTTCACAGCCTCCCTGGGCAGCCTGTTCCATGGCTCTATCACCCTCACTGTCAAGAAGTGTTTTCTTAAGTTTCTGTGGAACTTCTGGTGCTTCAGTTTGTGGCCATTTCTTCTAGTCCTATCAGTGGCCACCACTGAAAAGAGGCCGCCCCCTCCTCCTCACTGCCTCCCTTGAGGTATTTATGGACACTGATCAGGTCCCCCCTCAGCCTTCTCTTCTCCAGGCTGAACAGGCCCAGCTCTCTCAGCCTTTCCTCACGGGGCAGATGCTCCAGGCCCCTGATCATCCTCGTAGCCCTGCGCTGGACTCTCTCCAGCAGCTCCACATCCCTCTTGTACTGGGGAGCCCAGAACTGGACACAGTACTCCAGATGTGGCCTTACCAGGGCTGTGGAGAGGGGGACGATCGCTTCTCTTGACCTGCTGGAGATGCTTTTCTTAATGCGACCCAGGATCCCATTTGCCTTTGTGGCCACCAGGGCACACTGCTGCCTTACAGTCAACTCGTCGTGCACCACACTGCCCAGGTCCCTCTCTGTGGGGCTGCTCTCCAGCAGGTCAACCCCTAATCTGTACTGGTGCCTGGGGTTATTCCTCCCCAAGTGCAGGACCCTGCACTTGCCCTTCGTTGAACTTCATGAGGTTTCTCACCACCCTGATGTCTAGTCTGCCCAGGTCCCTCTGGATGGCAGCGCAGCCTTTTAGGGTATCAGCTCTTCCTCCCAGTTTGGTATCATCAGCAAACTTGCTGAGGGAGCACTCTGGCCCTTCATCCAGGTCACTGATGAATAAATTGAACAGGACTGAGACAAGGACTGACCCCTGGGGGATGGATGAAACAAATTACTTTTGCCTCTTCTTCCATTTTCAAACCACTCTAATTGGCATAACGCAGCACAACCAGACATCATTAACACATATTTACATATATTAATCCTTTCATTGTCATCTGCAGTCTTTTCATGCTGATTGTATCATCAGGGTATGGATTTTACTGTGCCTACCTGAAGCACTACCTGTCCCCCTTACTTTTACTACTCAACCTCCCCCGGGCCTTTTATGTTGTTGACAAATACGGTGAAAGTGAAGGTGTTAGTGAAGGACTATCAATCACTTGACAAAATAACTGTGAATTTGATTATATCATCTATTAATTATACCACCTACTTTATCCCATTCCAACCTCAAGAAACTTGGGCAGAACAGTTTTCATGAGCAAATTCCCACCCCAGTAGCCATGGTAAAACTTAATACCTCTTCTGATCGGGCTGTTGTTTTAGAACAAATATAAAGAAACAAAAAGGTGGTGAAAGCAAACAACCTTCGCTGTATCAAAATACAGCAGTGTCCCTTAAATACAGGCTGACCTGTGAGCAGTGCCCGCTGGAATCTTGATTTTTTTTTCCTTCTCGACAACTGTGTTGCAAATTCATAGCAAAGATCTCCCTGCTTCAAAGCCAAAAATAAACATGAGAAACCAGGAGCATGTAATAACAATTTTATTGAATATATTTAGGAAAAAAAATAGAGCATAAGGACAAGAGATCAGAGAAACTTCCCGCATGTAAGTTTTATGAATGTGCAGAAGCAGACAACCATGCAAAAGACATTTCCCTCCCCCACTGTAATTCAAAACTCTTATAACGGCAGAATTGCCGCCTTAGAAACAGTGTTCCAGACACATAACTCATTACCTTAAAGATCTTTCCTGAATGGAAATAAAATAGAGGCAATAAGGAAGGACCAGTGATGGTACAGTAATTCACCAACACTCATGCCATATTTGAAGAATGCAAGCAAAAACTGCATCATTACATAGAATAGACTTTTTTCCCCCCAAGGCAAAATTCCTAGCAAAACTAGTTCTTAAACTACCGAAATGGTGACTTGATAATGCAAGTGATTAGCAGATCAGTAGATGAAAGATTTTTTTTCTTTGTAAAATTACATCAGTGCCATGTAAAATATAAGAATCAGAGCAACAAAACAGCCTGCATGCATTAACCTCAGAAACAAATCATAACTTCCCAGAAATCTTCTGTTGAGGAAAATAATAAACACTCGGTAGGAGAATGTGCACAAACATAAGGGTGAAAAAACCACAAATTTGGAAATCCATGAACTATTTCTCCTTTTAAGAAGGGACTATGATAGAAAACAGTTTTACACATGTAGCTGAATGGTAAATTCTGAGACATATAAGCAGCTGTCTACATGTGTAACATGTAAACGCATTCCTAAACACAGTACAGCTTTTAGAGTCCCTTAAAATATAAAAATATAACTAGGCTGTAGCAAGGTAATCAACTTGTTAAATACAGTACAACTTCTGAAGACATGAAATAAAGGGTCATTTAACTGCAAGTACTCCACTACATCCTGGTTCACACTTTATACAGTTAGTTAGTTTAACTTCTATTAGACAGGTGAAGACCTGTATGATCAAAACATCATTTATCTACATTTTCAAATATTGCTTTCAAATAGCATTACATGGACTTGGTGCGCCACAAGTGGTTTCAGCTTCTCTCCATGTTTACTAAGAAAAATTAGTAAAAAGAGAACTGTAAGTGCCACTTAACCACTAACCATTTCAAGATCTCCTTGCTCCACACTACAGGATGCAAACACACTTTTAAAGACAGCTTCAGAGTAGCAGCAAGGATCTCCTCAAAGCATTTAGGTTCAAGTGAAACACCTTTTGCAACTTTGTGGTGGGTGCATACATATGGTTACATAAAGCTGCTAAAATTATGAAACAGAAGGCCTACAGTAACTTACAGCATCTGAAAGTTCATCTTTTATTCCCCAAACACCACAGGTCTTGCAAAATTAAGCTATTGTTTGCAAGACCTGTATCTTCTTGCCCTGTTCAAGCTGTGTTTGATTGTCACTGATTAGAAAAGACATTAGGGAACTCTGGAAATAACTATAGGTCTCTGCTGAGTGCATTAGCAACAGAAGAGCAGGAACTGTCAACTCACCGAATTAACAAAACCAGGAAAAAAAGGCAGCAAATCTGAAGGCAAAGTTTGCAGGAGCTTTCTGTGACCTACTGCACTGCTAAGGTGTCTCAGCTCCTTGCAGAATGCAATTTAAAATGGTATAATAGATACTGGACTGTAAAGCCTGAATAACAGGAGTTCCATTCACCTACACTTTGCTAAATTTAATAGTCAGTAGGCTCAGGAATCATATGACTGATGGCTTTGATTAAGCATTGTGACTTGCTTAAAAACAGAAATCCTTTTTTTTTTTTCCCCTCTTGTTGTTCCTTAAAATGGATTTTACATTATATAAATTTGCAGCCTATGATACTGAAAAAGATGGAACTAAAGCACCAAAAACATTAACATAAGGCATTAACAAATGCATGTCCGTATACACACATATGAATAAATAGATATACATTTAAAACTTGCTCGAGAAGAATTTTATCCTGGCATTTATACAGTGCTCATTTTACTCTCCAAGTTGAGTTCTGCTTACAAAAATACACGTGCCCTGCTTTTAGTTGCAACATCTGGAATTTGTCATGCACTTCAGTAACTACTGTCAGTATTAAAGGAACTTGGCTTGTTTGCTCAGAACACAACAGACATCTATCTGTACAACCTCTGGAGGACCATTTTCAGGTACACATTTTTGCAAGCTTGCACCTCACCACTGAGTAACACCTGACATTTTCAAGTATACTTCAAAAGGAATTATTAAAAGTTAACAGAAAGCTTTTAGGCAGAACTTAGAGCTTGCTTAAAGCTGGATTTCTTTCTCCAAGGGAGCCAGCAATCATACTCCCTCCTCAAAATCAATGAGGAAACAGGATCTTGAAACAAAGGTGAAGCATCACCAAAACAGATTTCATACACATTGGTATTAGACTCTTTGGGGACAGGTGGGGAAGGAAGGGAACAGAAGCTCTTTGGTAATGTATTTTCTACTATTCTGAGCATAAAGTAGGATTTTAAAGTACTGCTAAAGACAGAACTTGATATTCAAATTGAATTACATCTACTGCAAAAAAAGTAAGATTTTTAGAAATTCTTTACTTCAGAGTGTTCTTCCTGCAAAGGTTACTAATTGCTTTGCCCTAAGGTCTGCCAAGGCAGGCAAACTGAGCATCAGAATGCAACCTCACATGAATGCAAATTTTCCTTTACAAGTTTTGGCACAATAAATGGTCTATTTTGCATGACTTCCACAAGAAAGCATTTGTTTTTCTTTCATTTCTAACCCAAAATGAGAAAGCAGTTTTAAGCAGAATGAGAAATTAGTATTACTACATAAGCTGCTGCTTAGACAAAGTTGCACCTTAAATATTTACCACTGGAAAATGAAAATAAAAATGTATTTTTAAATCACTTTAATTGAAAAGTGTAATTATGATAATTGAAGGGGATAATTATGATTTGAGACATATTTTAAAGCTTATTATTTCTCTTTAGGCTCATCACATAGGTAAATTTAGTTCATTAAGATAATTAGCAACAGGAGCTATGTAGAGTAATACAAAATCCTTCTCAGGTATCCACCATGTGCACTGTCTTCTGCTACTACAAACATCCACCTACTTTGAAAAAGATTCATAATTTTGAATGTTGTGGAGCAGGACTTAATACACATTCTATTAACTCTGCCAAATAATTACAGACAGCAGCCTGGCAATTACAATACTCTGATTTTTGATAGGATAATTCAGCCAGTTCTCTGTCCATTCCCGTTTACATTTAACTTTTCACGAACTAATGCCAGGGACAGGCACTGGAGCAAAAAAATATTTTATTTTTCATTCATTTCCTGCTCTCACATACAAAAGACAGCAAATAAGTCAGCAAGTACTTATACCCTTTGCAAAATACCCTTTATTCCATCACTGCAGAGCCAAGAGGTAACAACACATTAGTTTCAGAAGACAAAAGTGGAAGATCCTACAAATGTTCTTTTGTATTTAGCTTTAAGTAGCCTTTTTATTCTAAATGCGGAATTTCATGTTAATTGCTTCATAAACTCAGATTTTATACCCTTAATATTAGAAGTTGCATAATGAATAGAACTGAATTTAGCATGTGCTACCCCAGCAGATCGAGTCTAAGCAAAACACTTGAAAAATTACAGAGTGCATCTGTTTGGAAAGTTGGTGCACAGCAGGCAAGGATATAAGAGAATGGCAACAGCTCCAGCTTTCCATTGAAACACTCCAATTAGAATAAATACACTTCTGGGAGCAAGAGCAAAGACACCTATTGCTCTTCAAGTTTACACCTCATTTACCGTGCAGCAACTTTCTTTGAAGACTGAAGGACAAGATCTAGCATTAAAAAAAAGTGTATAAAAGTTAAATACTCGATTACAGTAGCAAGTCACCACCTCATGATAGGAAATAACTCGTCTCTGGGATTCATTATTGATCTGAATCCTCTGTTTGCTGTTGTGCGTTTGATCCTGGTAATTCAAGACTTGCCCATAATAGGGGCTCTGCTTTTCTCATAGTAAGCTCAATCTTTGTAGCAGTCATGTTCACATAACTCCTCTTTACATCAATTACCTAAAACAGAGCAAACACATTTCACACCTCAGTTTAAGAACACAACTGTCAGATGTTTAAGACAAAGCTAAGGAGGGTACTTGACATATTAAACTTCATGTACTTAGTTCAAAAGTTTAGAACAGGACTTGGTATGGACCTTTCCATTCTACACCTGAGGATTTTATATATTATTCCATTGGAGAGATATTTAATTATTCAATCAAGTTCCTTCTTCTATCTGAAACTGTCTAACATTCAGGCCTCTCCCATTTCCAGACTATGAAGATATGCCAGGGTACATACAATATACACGCAAGTTTAACACATACATAAGAATGCATTTAGATGATAAAGACTTTTTTTGCAACGCCACTACCATATTTTGGATAGAATCTTAGGGTAAGTCTGGTCACTGAGGACTTCAGTAGGTTGTTCAACCTCCTGCTCAAAATAAGATAAACTACCATGTCAGGCCTAGTCCCTCAGGGCTCTAAATTCAGATTTAAGTTTAATACTGAATGATGTGCAACTGAACCCCTTTCAATAAGAAGGGTAATGAGAAAAATGGGTTTAGAAAGAGAGGAGCCAATGTGTTCGGGTTGTTTTTTTTTTTTTTTTTAATGGAAAAGTGATGCTTATACTTACTCCCCATAATTTCACACTGCGATGAAATTCCTTTTCTCCTTCAAATACGATGTGAATATTTACCTTAAGAGAGGAAGCAGAATTTATCAGGCTCAAGTATGTTTAAGTAAACTCAAGTATGTTTAAGTAAAATATATCACAACAGGACTTGGATCCTAATTGAGCAAAGCAATCAAACTGCCTCTTACACGATGAGTTAAGATTCATAGTAATAAATTCTGACAATATACAAGATTTTATACATCATAATCTACAGTAGTCATAAATATTTCCTGAGGCTGTACCACATTCTGCAAGTGTCATTTTAAAACTCGTAGTTTTAAAACATTAGTAACATTAGTACCTCTGAATACCGTACTGCATTCCATAATGAACGATATTCACTTACTTCACATACAATGATGAAACTATATTTATATATGTAATGATGTAAATTTAAGGTTTTAAAAGCTTTTTTTGTATATATTATCTTGCAGTTTTTATAAATGCATTGCAAGTACATCCATTTATAGATGCATATACATAATAGAAAAAAGTGCTATACATAAATAGAACAAAAATGTCAAGAAAAAATGTTTATAAAAATAACTTTATACTATTTCAACTATACTTTATAAAGAAGGCAAAAAATAGGTTTTCATTACGTCAAACTGCTGTATTTTAACAACAAAATTAGCAAAACAAGGAAAAAGCCTAAGGTAGTTACTTACCATTGTGCTATTCGCTTCTACAAAACTAAGATCAGGAATAGAGTTTTTAGCATATATTGAAATAGTCACTTCCCCTCCAGTTTGGTGCCAGTCATGCCTGCATGGAACTACTTTCTTTCCCTAAGTAAGCAAAAGGRTATGAAAAATATTAAAACTGCATTTATGAGAACTTTCACAACATTAAACAGGAAAGGTCCACTTTAATAAATCAGTAAACAGAGCTAATATAGTCCAAAATCTTGTGTTCAGATAAGTGTACAAAAGTCCACATTTTTTTTTTTTAAATCAACATTCAGCTTCTGGCTCTTGACAAAAGTTAGAGCTGGTAAAAATGATGTTCATGACAGAGGCAATGGTAAGAAAAAGGGACACTGCGATAGAATGAAAGCAAAATCTTTCTTGTTGGATTAACTTTCTGTTCAAGACCACAGCATCCAGTGGGTGGTAGAAAGTAAAAAAGTAAAAGTAGAAACTCCAGAAGCATGAACCACAACAGTTTTATTATGGTAATTATTCAAAGCCACAACTACTTCTCAGAATTCTAGCTACAGAATGCAACACTAATAACACTTACCGTGTCCTTTTTAGTCCACACATGCGTTCCTCTTGAACAGCCTTCTTGAGCTAAAAATGTATTGAAGTCGGATGTTTTTCTTTTACAACAGCTCCAGTACTTCATCCTTCAGAGTTTGAAAAGAAAGCAATTACCAAACAATATTTAGAATCATAATGGTTGGAAAAGACCTTCAAGGCAAGAGTCCAAGTGTAAGCGCCTCAACACCACGGCTGCTAAATCATATCCCTAAGTGCCTTTTCTACACGTTTCCTGAACACTGCCAGGACAGTGACTCCACCACTTCCCTAGGCAGCCTGTTCCAATGTTTCACCATTCTTTCTGTGTAGAAATTTTTCCTAATATCCAGCCTGAACCTCCCCTGGCACAACTTGAGGCCATTTCCTCTCGTCCTATTGGTACTTATTCTGGACACCCACCTCTCTACCTCCTTTCAGGAAGCCGTAGAGAGCGATAAGGTCTAGGGTGCAGGTCTGGGACACTGTTTACTATGATGACTTCAGATTACTTAAGGTTTTTCTTTTATGCAGTATTATTGTTCATTTGGTATATTCTCTCCCAACAAATACAATGCAACATCTGCAAAGAAAGCAGTTACAGATAATGGAGGATTTTTTTGTTTTGTTTTAAAAAGTTAACCTTAAAATACTAACCCTTCATGGAATATAGGTACACCAGAATGGTATATACATACATCTTCTGTGCTCTGTGGTCCTTCAAATGTCTGTAAAAGAGAGAAAACATTTCAAGTATATCACTAATTTGGTAAAATGACTAAAACAAAGAAAATACAGTACGAATAGTGAATAAAGTATTATAAAGTTTTTGAGCTGTTCATCTGATGACCAATTCCAGTTTTCCAAAAGTCATTCAGCCTCCATTTACAGAGAGTCCCTTGGCAATCCTTCATCACAAATTATACTTTGCATTGGTTCAATAGATGATGGGTCTCCCTAAAGGTCTAAAATGCACTAAATATTCACAGAAGACAGGAAATCTACTGTAAGCACATTACAAGTAGCATTCCTAAAAGAGAGCACACAGACTCGCAAAAGGAAATAAATCAAATGGTAAATATTTTTGCCACACAATGGTATCAGCTGTTTCTAACACCTGTGCCACGTGCTCTAGGTGACCCTGCGTGAGCAGGGGGGTTGGACTCGATGACCTCTGAGGTCCCTTCCAACCTTTGACATTCTATGATTCTATGAAATGAGAAACTTCTGTAAACTCCTATTGCAGCAGAATTTTAGTAAAAAGAAAAAAAAAGTCAGACTCAAGTGAACCATATATTTCAATCCCACTGTCAGATTCAAGTGAACCATATATTTGAATCCTACTGTCTTATTCTGTATGAGAGAAGGCCGTAAGTTGGGGGGGGGGGGGGGGGGGAGAGTAACAAAGTAATTTTTCATGGTGCAAGGGTTAAAAAGTTTCTTTGTGGATTATTCAAGTAGGAAACATGAACTGAGAAGGTCCACAGAAATTCCTGAAGCAGGTGTAGATTGTGAAGAGTGATCCAAAGCGTTACCAGCAGGCCATCTCACACCAATACTTAACATTTTAAGCTGAACCACTTCCATATCTTTGCTTTGACAAAGTCACTAACCATAACTTTACAATGGGCACCAGGGCTGGGGGGTGGGGAAGAAGTCTTAAGATTCACTACAATAGAAAGCAACCCATGTTTATTTTTATCAAGGTGTTATCAAATGTATACTTGTTCAGCCTGATAGACTTTATGTCAGCTTCGAGTCATTTCATAGTGCACTAAAAGGGGCAAAAAAATGTGCACTTAAACATACCTGCTAAGCTGTTGAGTAGAAATGAACCACTTACTTTTGAACAGCCTGCATTTTTACATGGCGTTCCAATCTTGATTTCATCACCATCCTCTTCTGTAAACAGATATATATTATAGAAAGAAAACAACTAAAGCGTAGAATCTACTAAATATTCTGTTTTTAAGTTAAATGAACTAAACGCTAGAAAATGGAAAAAGCTACTGAGCTTTCCATTTTCCACCTTGTACAAAAGTTTGACCAAAAGATACAGAAAAACAAAAGCTACGTAAACATCATAATCAATACAATGCCACATTATTCTACATATATAATTTTAGGTTCTAAACTTATGCACTATTTTTAAAATGGGAAAAAAACATGAATAGAGGGATGGCTAAAAATGCAGAAGAGAAACATACATGAAAATACATAAAATGGCCACAAACACATTTAGGTTGAAATTAGAAAGTTGTAGAAGGAGTAGAGTAGTTCTGGAGCACAAGTCCAACTGAACCATGGGATGAGAGAAAAGTGAAAAACATGGTGCATGGTGTCTGTAGTAACGGACTAGCAGATTTCATTTCTTGGGAAACTCCTTCAATACTACATTTAGACAAAGATGTTCCCATATTCACTCACGAAAATCTTACAAAATAAACAGTTTAAATAACGTGAGAACACACTTCTGACACTATAAGCCCCTACACCATGCTCTCATCTCAGCATGGATTATCATTACATAGTATTTCTAATATGTTCATATTTTTAAAGTGATTACTTTACATTTATTTGTCTGACAAGATATATCATAAACATACTTCATTTTTTCATAACTTTACCTTTTTTCTCCTCATTTTCTGCTGACAGTTTCAGTTTGTCTAAAGCTTGTTTCAAGGAAGCAGACACTTTCAGCTGCAAATTTGTCATTGGCTCATCTGGGCTAAAAACAGCCAATACTTTCATGTTAAATTAATTAAAAATATTTACAAATGATGACAAAGCAGTAACTTTCAATCATGCTACAGARCTCTTCCTTTTCATCCTCCCTTATAACAAACATACTAGATTCCTAAATGCTAATCCTTACTGCTTACAGAAAAACAGATTAGAAATTTCATAGACAGTCTCTTTTCAACAATCTTAACTTTCCCCACAAAAAACAATGAGAGAGATTTTGAAATCCCAATATAAACATTCTAAAATTACCTATAAGAATGTTTAAAGCAAAAAACAACTGCTATTGATCTTCTAATCCACGATGTAACTGCAACTTTTTTTTCCTGTTAWGGTCAATGCTGAGGGATCTTGTACTGAATTGTCCTAATCAAAATCCTTACATCTCAGTTTGAAGCTCAAGATACTATCTCTGACAACAAACACAAGTTGGATTAAAGTTGATTTGGGAATTTCTAACTGTATCTGCAACAGAAAGCCTAGTTGAGCATCATTACCTGCTATTAACACTGCCCTGCCCAGTGCTCAAACGCATCTGCATGAAATTTAACAATCAGGTGAATTTTATTTGACTACCTGACAAGTGATTTGGCAAAACTGCTTAGTATACTATACCTTGGTCTTTTAATTGTTTCCAGTGGTTTTGGTGCCTGAATTATGTGTTCCTGAAATTTGGGCTTCAGTTCAGACAGCTCCTTTCGCTCAGAGGTAGTTTTGACTTCTGGCTTAACAGGCTCAGGAGGCTTCTCACTGTTATGGAGACCCTTTGTACAGCCCTATTACAGAAAGCATGGGTTTATATAATTATGCAGTATATTTTGCGTGGCAATGTTGGCTGCAAAGGAAATCCTACAACTAAGACAAGAAATATCTTCACTTGCACAAACACTTGATTTTCAGTTTTTCTTTTTAAGTGTATCATTTCTAAAATTAAGCAAGGGAAACAAAGTCTTTTAAATATAAGCAATAGTTCTTTTGCTATCTAGTTAGGAAAAAAAATCATAATTCACCTTCCTTCATTGTTAACAAGAGTCTAAAGAGATTGATAGAACTAATTACAAAATTCAAAGCTTGAAAACTGAGACTTTACTTCAACATTGTAAGAAATAGAGAGAGTCAATCTGAGACTCAGATAGTTTTAATGGAAGTAAGAAAATTTTAAACATGTAAAATTATAATTTTCATTATTACAATTTACATTATAGTAATTTCCTGCATACATACCACAATGCTCAAGAAGTCAGAAAAGTCTGTTGTTCTTCTCTTACAACATGACCAACCCTATAACCATTTCAGAAAAAGAACAAAACAAGCATGAACATCTATTTTAGCAAGAGCTTATAAAAGACTAATTATATTCCTTTACAAGAGACAGAATTTCAAGAGTATAATACTCTTCTCTCCTTTGGACATTGCCGTCAACCTTCTGTATTTTTAAAAACCGGCAGAAATGTATGACAACTGCCAGCTTAATCTGAAAGCCCRGTAAAAAACTTGAGACAATAATTCCATGACAAGATAAATTACCACTTAATATGACAGAAAACAGACTTACTATAAAAAAGTAAAAGAAAGCAACATTTACAGAACAGTATCTTGCCACTGTAAATAGCAAATCTTAGAACTCAATGAATTAAAATTGACAGTTTGACTAATCAATACATTCTTCCACATCAGGAGTTTCAGTAAAACGTTGTGTTTTAGGTAGGTAGTTCTAAAACRTCCTTAAAATATTTGTTATTTCCATTATTGTTATTATTTCAACTATATATTCACTATTTCCAAGCAGATGGAAGGTTCGCCCCTGTCCACTTAGATCATCTGCAATTCATATCAGGAGGAAGGCTGCCCATACAAGACTACAGTAAGTTTTTAATGAGGCTAAAAATAAAATTAAAAATAGGATTAGGCAGAGGAGAAGYGGTGCTTGATTTAGAAACAGTGCTCATATAAAACCAAGAAGGAACAAGCACAATCTTCTCAAGTACATTCAGATTTTTATCTTTTTAATTAGGCAGAAGCTTTACGTATATTTAATGTTAGGAATACCACTACAGTTTGTAGCAAGTGATTTGCTAYAGTGCAAGCGCACCCATAGGTGACCCAAGAGTGCCTGATGACACATGGGCCACTTCTGGAGTCACACCCTGCACCACAAGCACTAGCTCACTGAGCACTGCTTCCCTCTGTGTAACTACCAGCCTCTATGCACTTAATGACATTACACATCACAGGGAAGGGATGTGTTGCATTGTCAGGAGAAGCAGTTCCTCAACACCAGAAAAAGATGTGTGCCTCTCAGCTCAGTGCCATGCACTGCAGTCTTCTGTTAGCATACAGTCCAGTTACTAATATGATGTCTCGTACTATTTCAGTCTGAGCCAGGCAGTTCTCTCAGAAATTCCCAATAAGTAGCCTGGATGTAGCCACTTGWTCCTGAGGTAGAAAAGTGCTCAATATTACAAATATGAGCCATGCTGTGTCTGCCAGCCTACCCACAGGAGACCAGTTCCAGCTATATTTATTTCACTACAGAAGATGCAGTCAAAGGATCCTATACAGCAGGGTCTGGCGCATGGATAAGCATTCCTAAATTAACATTTACATTCATAAGATTAAAAAGTACTTTTTAAATTTTTTTTTTTTTAATAGCAACTAAATGCAACTTAGACACTAGTGTTCTAGCCACATAAACCCTCAACTGGATGGTCTAAATTCCATGCAAGTGAACAATTGAAGAGTGTGATAGCTCTCAATGCCTCCAGAGATCTACTAGAGGACCTAATTAAACTGTTGAGACACCTGAAGTCAATTAACAGGAAACAACTCACAGTGACACGTGCAGCATCCGCACAATATGACTATAGGCTTTAATTTCTTTTGCAGTTTTGAATATGCACTGTTTTTTAGTTTTATGGTGTTGCTGAAATACAACAGACTGGACATTATATTCTATGCAATAGACATATTTCAAAGGAAAGAGAAAAAATATCACAAGATGACTGCTGTAAACAAACAGAAAGAAAGGTAAGTCTTAAAAAGTTATTTTCATACTTACTTTCAGAGCATCATGAAAGACTGGTACACCTGGATGGTATGTACATGAATCTATAAGAAAATGACCATTATTAATATTTACACAAACCAGGAATCCTTAAAACTATTYATCTGAACACAAACATAGCAAAAAATGTCACACATGCAATTCACGTATGCTAGGCGTTGCCCCACTGTCCCAAATGCACATACTTAGGAAAGAAACTGCAAACTTCATACAAGAGGCTTTCTRCCTGYAAATATTAAATCCTGAAGAGCCAAGAGTATTTCTTCTGTATTACACAACACAGACATCAAAGCAGGCACCTAACGCAAACTCCTCCTCTGTTTGCACCGAATACATTTTGTATGGACTATCCCTCGTCTCCATCGACCATCAGTCCTTAACTGGTAACTCAGCAGAAGTAAGAAAAAGCAGCMCTATGGCTGTCTGATGGAAATAAAATATTGGTTTACAGTATCAAATACATCTGTTTTCACAGCTGTATGGATGGATCTAGACTTTCTGTGAAGAAGCACCACRTTTCCAAGCACTCTGGAAGATCTATCTCAAGCTCACTAATTTATCCATGACAATTAGCTTGTTCTTTAGTGGCTGTTGGTAGTATCCTAGGTCACGGAGATTCAACCCAAAGGCCAATCTTCCACATGCAAGCGTTAATAAGTATTACTTATACCTAGGTTCTTTATAAACACTGTATTTCCACCTCACAGGACACATTCTGTCAGTGTGACAGCATTTTTGTAGCAACTGCTCCTATTTTTTTTAAACATTGAATATATGTATTTTGCCAAGTGTACTAATTTTTCTAATTATATAATATCTCTTTAATATGTACTACATGTACTACATTTTTGAGGTAAAAGGAGCTAAAGTGGACACAAAAAGCAACCCATTTTATAAGTAGTCCCTAGAAAAYAGAAGGCCTAAAAAACCCTTATATTTTACATAGCAAGAGGGAAATAATGCCTCTATTAATAAAGTTGTTAATTTTTGATAAATTGCCCTATCCATAGGCAAACACAAATCACTTCCAATTTTTATTTTTTATAAATATGCATTTTTTAAGAAGAATTTGATTGATATCTTCTCCTTTGCCTAAGTATTTTGGGCCTAAGTCTAACATACTAATATGCTCTGAAAAATACGTTACTCTAAGATGACAGTTCCCATCTGCAACTCAAATGGTTCCTATTTTAGGACATCAGCCCCACATCCGGACTTGTATGTATATCCTTAACTTTTAGCCATTCCATTGGCTTCAGGATGAAAGGCTAACGTTAGTAAACTTCACAAATGCTATGAAAGTTATTTGTATAGAGTCCAGGACTTACCTGATAAGTCAAACAAAACTAAAAATAGAGGCTATTCTCTTCCAGAAGTATGAAAGTATGTCACCATAAGTCCATGCAGTAAAACAATGCAATAAAACTGATTCAGAAGTCTTATATTACTATTTCTTGCTCCTCAGCAGTATGTGGGTTCAAATAAAAGATACGCTGTAAGTACCATATCCATGAAATCATTTTGAAGTCAATTAATTCGGGGACATTAAGATAAACCACCYATTTTTTCTTCTTAGAGCCCAACTACTTGTATCTGAGTGAARTCTACCTCCATAAAAATGCACCACCTCAAACTAGTGGAAAGAAAGGGAATTTGGCACAGACTGGTAGTCACTCTTTGAACTGTTGTTCAAAGCACATTCTACTTCTGATTTGTCCGAGTTCAGCTTCCATCCTTTGGTTGACATTAASTGTTAAGACATCCAAGTCTCTTCTCCATTACCATTAATATACTTAACSAGGACAACCACAAGGTCACGCAAAGAAAATGATTTCCTCTCATGATCACATCATTCCTGAAGATGACAGCACTTTTTTTTTCCTTAATGTTCCTAAACCAGTCCCAGTCTTGCCATGCACACACTGCTCTCCAGTCATTATCTTACTGCAACGTCTTTGTTTATTCACCTAAGTACCTTGCTACTCTTTTGGTTAAATATAAGAGTACAAAATGGTACAGGTCACCTAAAATGAAATGAGGGATTTGCAACGTATTCCTGTTAATCTCTAAAAGATGAAGCAGGACAACTGCCTAAATACAAGGAATRCTACATCATGCAGCGCAAACAAAATCTAGGCAACACATGTATTAGATGTACTCTTAGTCTGCATGTGCACATCAGCTTTTCAACTAGTAAAATGACTGTTTTGTATGTTAAAACATACAAAAATATGTGCATGTAATACTTTACACCACCATTGATATGGCTAGCATTTAACAGATTAAAAATATTCATAAGGTTAGCCAAAGCTAAACTGCCTTCCCTCTGGCTGTTTTTCTGCCCCTCTTTCAGAAGCATTCAATCCTTCACAATGTCAGTTAACAACTTGCTCTTTTTTTAATCCTTGAAACAATGGTTTATTCAGAAAACTGATGCAGACCTTAGTTTAGCCATCTGATCCTGAAGAGGACATTAATGGCCTTTTATATCAGTCATCACTTCCAAAACAGTTTAGGGACTGAGACTGTAATACTACATCAATACAGAAATTTTTATAAAAGAAACAAGCATTTTGGTGACTAACATATGTAGTRACGTTAACCCTCGCAACATATGAAATATTTTTGTCTACTCAGAATGGAGTTCAGAAGCAGAAATAAACCTTTAACTTTACATCCCATTGACCTTGGAGAAAATCAGGGAAGCTAGAATTAATTTTCTTAAGCTTAATCTAGAACACAGTCATTCCAACTAGCATTTTAGCCATTCACCTACACAAACTTCAGATAAAGAAGCTGTTTTCCTCATCAAACCACCACTCAATTAGCAAGCAATAGGATCATGACAACCTGATAAGGTCYACTATTGTTTTTATAATATACTAAGGATGAATACATGTGTTAGCAAGAACAGATCATGAAGTTTTTATTATTATTAAATAGATATATCTACTTTGGCTTTTGGGAATTGTGTGCATGTTGGGGAGCTGGAGGTGAGAGAAGTCACCAAATGGAAGCTTTCCAAATCCTTRTCTGCTCTGGCTGTTACTTAGCTCTGTGAGCCTTGCCCAAAGCATCATTCCTCTCTCGAGAACACTTAGCTCAGGAAAACAAAACAAAGGTTTTATGCAGTGGTTCTTAATCTGACAGTGAGCACATGCTAGAGCACATTAGTCTATAACTAATCTCGTGGATCACTAAAAATAAGTTGACACAAAGAGGCCATTCTAGAAATTCAGCCAACACAGATACTTTACAAACCAGTCAAGGGCAATCCTGTTGAGAACTTAGATGACCCTTTGGCAGCCTCTGTRGAACTTTGCAACCTAAAATGACAGTGCATCAAAGATATTTCTCACCATGTACTTTGTTTCCAGCACTCATGGGGGAAGAACTCCTRGAGCTTACAGCAATTCACAAGCAGACACACGTGCATCATAAGACACATTTAATTATCCGCTGTGCGTACATATTATAAATATACAAGCAGGTGGTGATAGTGCAACTGCGATACACRCCGTACCCACAGGAGCACTCTGAGGTGCTCTCCTGCAAAACTCTCTTTTCAAGGCCTCCAGTTTACACCTTTAGACTACATCCGAACAAGGTAAAGAGCTGTTTTTTTGTGGTGGGCTTTTCCTCAGAGTGCTCTGACACAGCACTTGGGCCAAAACAAGCCTACAAGAAGTAAAATCTGTGATTATTATTATTATTGTTAGGGTCACCCCCTGYGCTGCGGTGTCGGCGGCGCGCGGTGCCCTCGCGGGGCTGGCAGGGCGCCCGGCGGGATGCGGCAGTGCCGCACTCGGGCCGCAGCAGCGCCCGGCGCCCCCGCGCTTCGCTCCGCGGCTGCCCGGCGCCCTCAGGCCCGGGGCCGCTGCCCGGCCGCCCGCCCCCGCGGGCCCTGCACGCTTCCCCCGGGCCCTCCCTCACCGCTACCCCAAACCGGGGTGGCGGAGGGCTGCGGCGCCCGCGCGCTCTCACCCTCCGTGTTGGTGTCGGGGTCGAAGCGCTGGCCGCAGCCGCGGTTGTAGCAGAGCAGGGACATGGCGGCGATGGCGGCGGTGACGGCGGCTCCCCCGGCCCGGGCGGCGCGGCGGGCGGAAGCGGCGGAAGCCGGCGGAGGTGGMGGGGGGAGGARAGGGGGATGGCGGAAAGAGCCGAGSGGAGCCTTCCGGAAACTTCACGAAGCTTCGTGGGGAGGGGCGGGCCGCACTGCGCAAGCGCCGCGGCGGTTGCCAGGGCGACGGACGCGCGTGGTGCGCATGCGCTCTTCGTAGTGCGGCGGGGCAGGGGGAGGGGCGCGATGGCGGGGCGCAGGCGCAGTGCGCGCGGCGCGGCGGCGGGAGGGGCGTGATGGCGGAACCCACGGCTGCTGGTGTCGGGGTTTTAGCTTAGAAACGGCATTGAAGGCTTGGGAACGGGTCAGGAGCTCGGCAGTCTGCCGTTTAGTTCTTGTGGGGAGGTTGTTTTTTCAAGTCGCCTTAAGAACATGTGCTGAYTTAAAGACATAAACCCCACGAAACTCGCGGGTGTGCGAGTGTCTGGCGTGTTCGTGGTGTGCGTAAATTCCGTTTTTTTCTTTTCATTATGAGTACATATTAAATGCTCAATCATTTGTACCGAAACATATAAATTACTTTATAGGAAAATTACTTTATAGGAAAAAGGTTATGTATGTGTGTTTTTTTTTCAGTCCSAGGAATTACCCTCAATGCTCACGTTAAATTGACTGACCAGGCTATGCCTCCCTTGGTGCCCCAACTTTTTCTTTGGTGTATTACAGTGCTGGAACTCACCATGCTCATTCCTGCAGGCAAATGCAGTTTGATTTCTTCYAATTTTATTTTAAATGTCCGCTGCACGGAGCTGTCCACGTGGATGCCCAAGTGTTCGCAGGGCATGTGTCAAATGACCCTCAAGTAGACACGCAAAATGAACAGATTGCTTCTCAAAAGCACTTCTTCAAAAGGAGTGCAAAGAGGATCAATGGTACTTCCAAAGTTGCCATAAACTTACACAAAATGCTAAAGTTGCCTTAAGTGCTTGAATCCACTTGGTTATATTCATTTATGTTTGTTATATACATGGTTACATACATCTATGTTCATACTTTACATAAAGATAGGCATATTCTTAGTCAGAAAACACACATTTGCTTGAAGCAGTAAATAACC